CCCCCCCCCCCCCCCCCCCCCTCGCTACGCCTACTCAACTCAACCCTGCGAAACAACACTGAAGCCTCCACTCACCACTTGGAAAGACTTCAACAACTCTGTCTCACTAGCGCAACTCACTCGCTCCAGTACCACGCTCCGGCTTCAGCAACAACTCATCTGGAATCGAAGAAGAGCGCAGGAGATCCGTACCACAACACCCCCCATTCATCTGACTCTCGCTTAGCCAACCACCCTCGTTGGATTCCCACGCAAAACAGAAAGAAAAAGAGACAAGAATCTAAATCACCAAAACAGATGTTGCCATAATCTCCTAAGACCTGCTCGCTTGCTTGAAACCTCGAATCAGCCACAAACCGACGCCTCCATTCGCTTTAGGTTTCCGGGTCTGTTTGGAAACACGCAACAAGCAAAACTTTTACAACACACGATCGCTACCACGGTGAAGGAAAGGAGGAGATTTGGATCTGGATTTTAGGGAAGATCTTGGACATTGAGGTTATCACGACGACGCAACTGCGAACGACCTCGGCGCAAGCAACCGGTTACTCGGCAGGCAACACCGACTTGCTACTCCAGGTAGTCAACGCTCAAAGCACCTTGACTATCGGCTTGTTCACTTTTGACAACTACTCCGAACTACGCTCGCTCTAGATTGACCCTTCAGGAAGGCAACGTTGCAGTCTCAGTACCCGTCTTCGGTGTAAGGCACAACCTACGCTTCCTGTCCTCGTATCAACCCATTACGTTCGCTACTTCGACGTCATCAGGGTCCATTGTGTCTCTGCTTCTTGTCAGTGTTTCGTTTGTCCGTGTGTTTTGCCATCTATAGAGATATATGCTAACCTTTCTATTAGATCTTTCGCTTTAACTTTCCGACTGTCTTACTGTCACAATGGCTGGTCCCGGCGGTGGTCCCCCTAGGCGCAGGTAAGCTACTTTGTGTACTCACTTCGGGTTCTCTTTACTGACATTTGTTCTAGTCACACCAAGTCCCGAAAGGGATGCGAGACATGGTAAGCTAACTCAACCCATGACAAGTTAGATGCAAAAGGTGCTTTCTAACAATCATACAGCAAGCGCCGCCACATTCGTTGTGACGAAAGTTTTCCCCAGTGCCGCAATTGCACCAAGCACAAGATCCGTTGTCCATATAATGACATTCCTGTCGCTGAGGACCGGTCTACTTCTCCTGACAAACCGGATCTTATGTGGACGCCCGAGATCGAGCTTGTAATCGAGCAATGGCAGCGAACTGGTCTTTTCCCGTTCCCGAACCTTAACATTTACCCGACTCCGGCCCCTCAGTATCTCAGCACAGACGAGTTGCGCCTGATCCACCATGTTGCCTCGATCAGCAATCAGATGATGGAAATTGATGCCAACGGCTTCACTTTGTGGACTCGGCAGATCCCGACGTAAGATTAACACTTGACACGTCAATAATGGCTTGGGCTGGGCGCTAACAGGTTTTCTAGAATCATCAAGATTGGTGCTACCCATAACTATGTCTTGCATTCGCTGTTGGCCTTCTCTGCCATGCACATTGCGTACTTGACCGATTGTCCATTGGTCGGAAACATGGCTTACGAGCATCGGGGTATCGCCTTGAAGGGCCTCCAGGAAGCCATCGGGACCTTCTCGAAGGACACTTCTGACGCCATCCTTGCCGCATCTCTTGTTCTGTCGTGGCAAGCCACAGATTGGTAAGCAATATACTGCAGCCTTCCGGCTACACAGACAAGGAGGGGCTAACTCAGATTTCCATACAGGCGAAGCTGGACCCATCTCATGCAGGGAACCTCATCGGTACGTTTGACTGCGAGCGTGCGTGGTTACAAAGAGAGGCGGATGCTGACGTGGAAATAATAGGTCATTGAAGCCATGGACCCTTGGAAGCACGAGTCCCAGTTCGGTGATTTCATTGCCGAAAGCAGCACGTTTCCAACCGCTCCCCCGTCTCCTGCCCCGGATCACAAGCCCAGCCAGCCGCGCAAGGAAGACCTTGACGCCTTTCAGAGGACTCTGCAGCAGCTCCAGAAGGTCGAGTCTCACCTCAAGCACAACAGGGAGGACACCAAGTCCGTTGCCCAGCTCATCAGCTTCCTGAAGGGTGCTCGCAAGGTTAGCCCTACCTTGTCGGTAGCCCAACAGTTTGAGCGTTTGAGACCCCTGCGTACGTGGTTGTTCTGGCTTCCCGTCATGTACCTGCAACAGACCCATGGGTCGCCCAGTGCCTTGGTCATCATTGCTCACTATTACACCGTTGCTCTGGTAATGGAGCGCCTCTTCCCTGAGATCGGCGCCGCTTACTTTGGAAGTTTGACAATTGGCCCGGTTGAGGAGATTGCACGTCGCCTGCATTCCTTGAATATTTCTGGCCAACTCGCGGGTGATTTGGCAACCCCTCTTGCATTGATGAACTTCCCTATTGACACAGTCTCCGAATTCCGGTCTCGCATGGGGTGGAATCAACCGATCCGTACCCCGTCTTTCCCAGTGTTCGATAACTTCTACGCAAGCGAAGGTTCACCAATGCCCTTGTCCGCGGCGTCGTCGTCCGAGTACCTGCCATACGGAGAGAGGCCGGCTTTCAGCTACAGTACCGAGAACTTGTCCGTCATCCCGGAATGCGGACCCAGCCCGGTCCAGATCACGGCACCTTTTGGCCAACCACAGTACCTGAGCATCCCGAGCCCATCCTATGGAGCATACAGTCCCACCACGAGCACCTTCGGTGACTATAACGACGCGGCTTCCGTCACCTACAGCGATCCGGACGAATATCCCTCGTATGACATGGGCTTCTCCGCTACTACACCCATGATGGGCGGTGCCAGCCCCTATGGTGTCGGGTTCGTCCATCCAATCCAATCCGTGTGGACGGTCTAGGATCTCTGATCGCCACACCGGCCGCTGTCCGGCTCCGAAGAGATGCAAAGGTTTAATTAACATGGCCATCAGGACTCCCACAATGCTAAGCTCAACGCCCACCTACCCGCCTCCGGACGACTTTGCCGTACTTTGGCCCGGCCCCCCACACAGCCTCGCCCCTTCTCCGCTCCTGGGCCCTGGACAATACTCCACCAGGCTTCCGCTCCCCGAGTCGCCAACCCCATCGATGATGTTCACACCACCCTCGAGCCATGGCCACAGCATCTCGATATCTTCTATACCTTCGAATTACCTAGATGATGACAACGTAACGGACGAAAGGCATCAGCACATCACATCGAACTGAATCTGGCATTCGGTGTGCATCTCTTTTCAGCATTTTCTTTTTCGATACAGACGCGATTGCATACCACGTTCCTTTCCAATCACACCTGCAGCATTTCAACGCATTATTATGCATCTTACACTCCTTTTACGACTGCAACGACGCTGCACTTAACAGCACACGACGCTCCTTAACGACACTTGTTTCAATAACGCATATACACTCCTTTATATACCCAACGGCTGGATCCCATGACGAACTATAGACACTCCTTTTTACGGATCGACGAATCGCATATATACCCAACTCGTAGACATTCCTTTTAACGACACTTGCATCTCGACGACATATTCGGCGAGCTTTACACACTCCTTACGGACATCACTGGATGGTCATGATACCCAACTGCAAAGCGACTGTTGATAATGGTTTTTTGGTCCTCTCTGGACAGGGACTGGTAGTTTGTTTTGAGAGACAAGGCAGCACATTGATGTGTCTGATCTTGGGCTCTCTGGAAAAAAAAGCGTGGCATTCTTGGTAATTGGTTCTTGAATCCTTAGCACCGTCAGCGGTGCTACAGGTTTGCATTGGGCGGCGTTTGTTTTGCTTTGACATCCCTTGAGTGAGGTTGTTATTACACCTCGACTCGATCGATCATAATACTATTTTGTGGATATGAGAGGTTCTGGAAAGAGGGGGTGGAGGATGATATGATAGGCGACGGATGATGAGTTTCGCAGATGGAGAAGAAGAAATGTAGTATTTCGAAGTGAATGAAGCGAAAAGAAAGAGACAGGATCTGTCGTTGGTTTGGAATATTTCCTTGAGCGGTGTACAGGTGAGCTGAGCTGGTCCTTGTTAATGAATGTGCTGGGTGTTAATGTGGCCTTTAATTTTGATGGTGTCGATCGATTCAAGGTCGACTATATGTACTACCTCTAAGTAGACTATGTTGACATTTCTCTGGCTGGCGTTGCAAAAGAGACGGTGAGGACGACCAGGACAATATGGTTAAACAAGATCTCACAGGGTCTGTTGTTACCTAATCATAATCATCGTTGTATTACAATAGCTGAGTTGTTCCAAAACTGGCCATTTGTTCTACCCTTAGCAATACCCTCGTATATAACGGAGAGAAGAGACACTTTCCTCAATCCGATGTAATGGACTCCATCTACACTGAACTTGAATGTACCTCTTGCCTCAGACCAGAAACTCTATTTAGTGTATAAGCCCGAATACCAAGCAGCAGCAGGATTTCTCGGGGGGTGAGAAAATCTGGTATCACAATAATATGAACAGAGGAAAGACGAATGCTTCGCAGATGGAAATAGTAATTAACGAATAAGAAAACCCTCCCGGCGGCTCAGTTAGCTGAAACCATATAGTGAGGGAGGGGTATAGGTATAAGAATATGTATAGGGGGGTATAAGAAGCCGTGCAGGCTATAGAAACGTAAAGAAACATAAACAGACAAAACCCAACACAAATGCGTGAACTCACACGCCTGCAAGACACCAGTCAGTTGCACTTGATGTGTATGCCAACCCAACCAAAACTCCATCACAATCTGCGTCGCCAGCTGCAGTGCTGCACTGCACTACGCGGCGCCGGCAGAAGACATCGTCATCAACCTGACCAGCCTTTCCTCTGCTCTCTTCTCCCTCCGTCGCCTCCCTTCCGGACTTTCGTCCAGTTTCCTCTTCCACATTTCTTTCCTCCTTTCATCCCGCACCACCTGTGGCGATGGAATTGGCATGTAGCCAAGATACCTCTCGTTACCACTGCCGTTACTACTACTACTACTACACCCGCCGCCTCCACTTCCACTTCCACTACTGCTCTCCTCCATATCTTCTTCCAAGACGGGCTCCAGATTCAGATTCAGATCCAGATTCAGGTTCGGGGGATGATGCATCGCCTAGAGCAGCAACCCCTCCACCTCGCTCGTGACCATGCCAAAGACCCAGTTGGCCTGCTGCACGCTCTTGCATTGGAAGCACCACTTGGTCACCTTGCCAGCGACCCTTCCCGTGCGGGGTGCTAGACCGACGTTTCCTTCCTCGTCTCGCAGATTCTCCCAGACGCTGCACATGATGCCCTTTGTTCCCAGCATGCTGAAGGATTTAGATCCCAGCACGGCATCTAACAAAATGAGGGGCTTGTCAGAAACCTTCTTGGTGGCGTGTGTCACGATGATGCGTTTCTCTAGGCCGTGGTAGAGCGATAGCTCCTGGCGTACGCCCGGGGGAGGACGGCCAATGTGCAGGATGCAGTCGCCCTTGTCAGCCCAGCGGTTGTTCTGCACGTTCAAGTGGCAGCGGATTTCGAGCGGTTGGCCCGGAGTGAACGGCTTGGCCAGACCAATGCTCCAGCGGCTGGGGGACTGGCTGCCGGAGCCGGATGCGCTCCGCGGCGGAGTTGAGGAGTCATTGCCGCCGGTACCAGAGGAGTAGCCGCTTGAGTACAGGCTGCCGCTGCCGCCGCCGTGGGCACCACCGCTTCCGGCGATGGAGCCAGGGCGGGATTGCTTGTCGACGGTGGACTTGCCGATGTTGAACGACGTGTTCTCGCCGCCGAGTAAGCGGCGCAAGAAGCTTTTAGCCGAAACGCTGGTTGTCGCGCTGCTGTGCTGGCTGGGCGCGCGAGTGGATGCGCGATAACTGTTCTTGCGGCCAAAGATGCTCTTCCGACGGCTGGAGGTTTCAGTGCCGTCGGCGCTACCGGCGCCAGAATCGTTCTGTATTTGTTGCCCAAAAGAACGGACACGTGCCTCCTCGGCAAGCTGAATGTACCTAGCATTGTTCAGCCGGCTTTGGTGCACCGCCTCGTAAAGGGCCTTCGCTTCATCCTGGCTCGCGGCGCGGAAGCGGAACATGCCGCTATCGATGCTGCTCAGGCGAGACTCGGGAGATACGCGGCTGCGGACCTCGAGGTCAAGCGCCGTACTACGGCGAATCATGACCACTGGGGTGAGGATGAGGCAGATAAGAGGGACAATGCCTCCAGCCTCTCTGTTCGCCATATCGACCTCGGACGTGCCAGAGGTCTGCAGAGGGTACGCCTGTTTGTTCCCTGGGGTTTCCTGGAGCATGTGTACCTCCATACTTCCGGGGAAGACCAGGATGCGCGAGGGTTCAGTGTTGATCTCCCTCCAGATACCCTTTCTGTTGGACCAGTACGAGACTGATGCAACAAACCGCTGCACAGTCCTCTCTTGCGGGGTCTGCTGCCCTGGCTGAGGTGCTCCAACCTGAGAAGCTGATTGTGATGGCGCTATGGTGTTTTCTGAGACAACGGATTCTTCAACGATCTGGGGCAAGGGTTGCTTGAGGCTATAACCCGGGATCGTATCCGGAACATCATCTTCGTCCAACTCGTCACTGGAGGATGATGACGACTCCGAGTCACTGCGGGCGGATTCTTCAGTCTCAGAGTCAATGTCAGATGGGTGATATTCGTGCTTGAGAGGAGAGGATGTGCGCCTCTTCACCCGGGTCGTAGGACCAAGCTCCACCGGAGGTTGAACGGCAGCTGAACCCTTGATGTTGAGGGGCCGAGGAATAGGCACAGATTCGATTCCGTAGGCTGGGGTAATTGGCTGAGATCTGAAGATATCCACAGATTCGCTGTACGGAATGTGTTTGTTGGGAGCCGGGTAGGAGGTGACCGGAGCGCTGGCTTGTCGCTTGTGGTATCGGCTAGGCGTCCTGACTTCATCATCATACGAGCCAATAACGCTAGGTTCACCAATCGGGACGTCGAGGTCGTCCGCTTTTGGTGAGCTGACGTGAATAAGGCTCATGCTCATCGGCGGCTTAGGTCGTGAGAGGGGAGGCATGGGGTCGCTACCCAAAATCCCCAGCCAGTCCGTAATCTGGACCTCTTCGGTAGTGGACAGCTTGATCAGCTCATACCACTCGTCGCCGTTATGTCTACCGCGGATCATGACAATCATGCTCCTGGGACTCTCGCCTTTTCTTGCCGAGATGTACTGCCTTGGAACAGGTGGGAAAAGCAGCCACGGCTTAGCCTTGTTGCTGATGTCACGGATGAGGATATCCCCCATGTCAGAAGGCACGTTGACCCTGTCTCTGTGCATGAGTTCGATTTGGCACTCAAGTCGTTGGCCGCTCGAGTGTTCAAGGTCCATTTCAAACGAGTCTTTAGCTGCCACTTGCCTGCTCGGATCGATCCGAACGTTGTCCAGTGGTCGTAGGTTGCGAAGGTCTCTGGCGCGTGTTGTGTCGGTGTTGTTGGCGTCCTCATCGGTTATGCGAGCGAACTCCTCACGATGCCGTGTTCGAGCCTTCTCCTGGAGGTTGCCGTACAATTTGAGCAAGTCCTCAGTTTCCGGAGTCTTGATCACCATAACAGCCGCCTACATACACACCGCTCATGTTAGTGACAGTTCACGCCAAGCTAGCGGTGACAATGGTAGTGCAGGTGGAACTCACTCGGAGAAACTTGTACATCCACTTTATTCGGATCAGGGGCCGCTTCAACAAGTACGCAACATCCACCCGCTCACCGTTGTAGCTGAGCACATCACCATCCTCATTGCGAGGTAGCGCATTCAGGAGGGAGTCATTCTCGTCGATCTTCCCGCTCGGCGGTGCGAGGTTGACAATGAGATCCTGGAATCCCAATCGCCATACGTCAAGGTAGTTGTTATAAACCGGCGAGACGGCTTCGAGCCATTCAAGAAGCCTCCGAATATCATGCAGGGGCGCGCGCTTGTGGTAAGTCCACAACTTCTCGAGAGCGACACCCATATTCACCACAGCCTTGGCCATGCTGTCTGTTTTGCGATCGGCATCGTCCACATTGTCTCCATGGACAAACTCGTTCAAGAGCACGGGGACGACACCGTCGACCAAGGTCTTGAGTTCTCGATGATAGAAGTGCTCATCATCGGCAAACTCCTCTAGCAGATCATTGACCCTACTGTCGGTAGCCTTGCTAGGCTTTCTGTGAAGACTGCGCGAGGCCTTGATGCTCCTTGAGCGGCTGGGTGGGACCAGCTGGCCATCGTCAGGAAGTGAGAGCACTGATACCAAATCAGAGTGCTTAGTAGTAAGTCGGCGCTTCAAGCTGCCAGACTTGCGGGATATTTGAGAGGTTTGTGACTGTTGACTCGCTTCTCTGGTGAGGGGTGTCGGCTGGCCGAACGCCTCTTCGGGAGCCTGGGTTACGGTGGATTGGGAAACAGTGGAGACGCTATCCGTATCCTTCTTGCCATATGGTTCCTGATATTCGCGGGAGTCCTCAGATAGTATGGTGGATAGATCATGCAAGTCACTCGTTGGTCGTCTTCTGCGCGAGGGCCCCCGTGTGCTAGGTTCTGACGAGGAATAGGAATCGGCTCTGGAAGGGCGATCAGGAGATGCTGATCTTCTCTTGTATGAGTCAGGAGAGCGCTGCTGCGGTGGGCTTCTCCTGGACTCCAAGTCATCCTCGGTTTCTGGTTCAGATTCAACGTCCGTCTCGCAGCTGGGATATACCATAGGTGCTATTTTGTGCGCACTGGATTCGCCCTTGAAGGCCTCCTTCAACACATCCCGAAAGGGCTTCTTTACGGAACCACTGCTCCTTCGCGGTAATGTTGGGCTCCGAGGAGTCGAGTGTCGTTTCAGCCCCGCCGCCGAATCAGGGGTAGTTGTAGGACTCTTTCTCCTCTTGGGAGTCACTTCGCTATCATCCGATCGTGTTGAAGTCTTCCGTAGCTCTTCATGGGTTACCGGAGTCTGAGGTCTCTCTTTCCTGCGCGGCAGCTCTGCCGAAGCGCGCTTGGAAATCTCGTGAGTCCGTGCCTTGTGGGTCGACACATCTCTATCGACCAGCTTCTCCTTCGAGTTGCGCTCGGGGGCCCGTTCCCTATGAGCTGGTAGATCTCTGTCGACCAACTTCTCCTTGGAATTGCGCTCAGGGGTCGAGACTCGTAGGGGTTCGGGGGCAACAACTGGTGGTAAGTTCGGCATACCCTCTACGAAGGGGTCAACCGTGTTGTTCAACCAAGATTCGATTCTAGCGGGCTTGTTCCCTGTAGGGGGAGGCCTCGGCGGTTCCGCCATCTCCTGCATCTTCTCCATGGCGCCGGTCATAACCTTTTTTAGGACATTCGGTACTAGTTTGAGGCTTTCATTTCTCTGAGGTTTCGGCTTAGGTTTCGCACTTTGGCGGGCATGTGTTCTCTGGGTATTACCCCTCAACGGGAGTTCCAGTTCGCTAAACGCCGAAAAGCCGAATGGAATCTCTGCTAAATCATCAATGCCAGCGGCAGTTGGAGGGCGCCGGTCAGAATCCTCTCCGGATGATCCACCATTCCTAGGAGTTGGCATTGGTTTGTCAGCGCCCGGTCGCCTGTCATCCGTTGTAGTTTCTGTTTGCGTGGCTGTGGTTGGTGGGCTAGGACTTCTTCGCTTCGGTTTTCTTCGCGCACCGCCACGGGAACCCCTTCTTCTTGGCAGCTTCCTCTTCGGAGGTGGAGGGCTTCTTAGCCTTCTCTTCGGCGGAGGACTCGGGCTCCTCCTTGATGACACTTCGCTTTCAGGTTCAACGATGACTTCTATCACATCGTCAGAAGCAGCCGAGTGATCACTACGCGCTCTTGGCTTGGGAGTCGATGCTTTTCTAAGCGGGGTCGAAGCTCTTCGCGGCGGCGTTGAGGTTCTTCTTGGAGGAGGTGAAGCTCCTCTGGGCGGTGTTCTGCTACCGGACCGATCGCTCGGTGTCCGCCCGGACGAAGAGGAGGGACTAACTGTAGAAGTGGACCTGCTGCTGCTGTCGGCAGAGACAGGAGGACCCGGGCGAACTTTAATGCCATCGTCTGGCAGTGAGCGGGCGGGCTTTGCTGGGCAGATCCTAATTCCATCATCTTTGGAGCCCCGTTTCTGTAAGGAACGCACCCTAATTCCATCATTGGGTGGACACTGTTGCGTCCTTGGGTTTGAGTTTGATCTCCTACTTTCACCAGACGATGAACGCTTCCTACGAGGCATATCTGGTTCCGACAGTGCCCCGCGGTGATGATCGTCATCCTCCTCTTCCTCAACCGTGACCGTCTCACCGGTTTTGGCATGGCGATATGTCTTGACCGTCGGGCGCCGGGCAACAGGTGGTGGGGGCGGCGGGAGCTCTACCCTCTGAGCCCAATCTCTGATCTTCTTTTGTACCGAGGGATTTTGCGCCGTTCGTTTGAGAAAGTCTTTTGGTATGGGTTGGCCTGCTTCGGGTACCGGACTTTTTGCTGGCCCTTTTCCCTTTTGCTGCTTCTTCATCCAGTGGTCGTCGCTTATAATCCTCTTCTTGGGCAACTCGGGCCTTGGTCGCGCTTCCTTGATAATGACATCGGGCTTGTCGTCGGCCAATTTCCCTAGCACTTTTATCTTTTCCTTGGCAGTGCTATCGCTCCCACTCGTACCCTTGGGTTCCACCGTCTCGATTTTTGGCTTCTTCTTCTTGGGGGGCTTCTGCCGCCACTTGATCCTCATTCTGTCCTCCTCGTCCACGTCATCGCCGCTCAAGTTGACAGCGAATTCGGTCGGTTCGCTTCGCGCATCTTCTGCGACCGGAATAGGAAGGCCCTCTGCCTTGACTGCCGCCTGCGACGCCTTTTGCCATGCCTTGACACGATCGCGAACGCCACCAGGTTGTTGTAGCTTCCGTACAGCTGCGGCGCGCATCTCTTGGCGTAGCTCCTCTCGAACATTCTGGGCATCCATGGACATGGTCTTTCGTCGCTTCGAGGCTGAGCGCTGTGCGGCTACGCGCTGCGGTGATGGTCGGCCGAGTAGGAAATCACCCAGAAGACTCGGCTCGGGCTTCTTCAGCTCGGGCTTCTTCAGCTCGGGCTTCTTCTTGTGGTGTGACAGGCCGCTATTGGTAGGTGTCGGCACACTCTTGGGAGTGGTGGCTCCCAGCGCCGTGGCCGATTTGGTCGGTGAAATTGTCGGCGCGCCATTCTTGGAGTTTGTGGGCGTGATCTTGGGGGTCTTTGGCCGTGGTGATGGAGATTTGTCGGGTTTTGGTTTTGGGGGTGACATTTCTTCTACTTGTCATGGGCGGAGTGTCAGCGGCTTGTGGATGTCCATTGCGAACGCTAGTTGTCATCTGTTGACTTTATTGGCACGTCAAGTGGTGCTCGCTCACCTTAGGGAGCCCGCATGCTGGTCCGCTTTGAGGATCCAGACACAACCTTGAGCCTTGACGGGCGCTACCGGGGTTTCATGGAGAAGTTGACGAGACGCGCAGTCAGGTTCTCTGAAGGCGCGTTGCCGCGGCTGCCGTGCTTTTGTGAGAAGAGATGAAGGGATAAATCACACACTTGGTGAATGGGATGACGTCCGGTTTGGGTTGAATCGAAAGAGCCCACAGGGGCCCCACTGGCTAACGGTGATGGACCACAGTAGGTCTAGCTCCTATTTCTTGCGTTTTCTGCTGCACCGATCTAGGCGCTTCCAACTCCGCCCACCCTGCGTGGAGTTTCAGGTAGTCCGTCGATGTCTCCAGGATCCAGGCTCTCCAGGAACAAGCGACGAAAGGCGGTGGAGAGAAAGCCCGGCGTGGTAGCAAAACTCGAACCTTCAGCCCTGGCTGGCTTCCCTTTGCAGGTGCTCGAGCTCTGGGTTGGCCCCTGTAAGAGCTTATTCTCTGGAAATCAAAGACACACGCAACACGCTATGTAGATCCCATAGAGCAGAGAGAGACAAGAGTCAAGGTAACCGCGGGACAGACGTAACGAGGGTAAGGGTATGTATGCTGTTCAGGTAGAGAGGGAGTCAGCTGTCGCCCACGCGGTTCGGTTGTGCGAGCAGGTAACCGACGGGCAAAGCTGCCCGCTGTGGTGCAACAGGTTTAGAACGAATGTTGATGAAAGGTACCTCCAGGTATTGTCAGACAAGGGAATCATAGGCTGGCTGGCGCGCGTGTTGCGGAAAAAGAGCGAGCGTAGGTGAAGGGGCTTGAGGAGCAGCTGAGCTTCTGTTCTGTTTTGCTGAGGTCGTTCAGACATCCGTAATCCGTAATCAATCCAACCCTGCGTGGCTGAGGATGAGATTATCGTTTTTTCCCGTGGCCGCCAATAACAATCAATTGATGGCAGTGGTTGCTGCGGACATCAGCAATTGAGACCCATCAGTATCCGAATCAGATCTCCAAAGAAGAGTGAAAAAGTGCAGGCAGTTCCACCCTTCATCACACCCTTTGCTCACTTTGACGCATCCACCGGGCATGTTATCAGTGTCGACCGATTTCTCCCTCCGACTTCTTGCTTCTGCCAGTCCCACCGGGTTCCATGGAAGTTGGAAACCACGTTCTCCTGCAGCTTGGCTGAGTGGTAATCAATTACTTGCACTAGAGCGGTTCCGAAGAGTAGGCTGCCTTGGTGGGGGCTGGTGTCATTCACTGCATTAGTTTCGTTACAATCGCGCGCTTCTTCCACTTTGTTCGGCTTCAGTCCGTGGAAAGTTGACTTTGCTTCACCTATGTACCTAGTGCTTCCATCTTGATCTCCGCCCTCGCTGCTGTCCAAGAGACCATTCAAGATTCAAGTAACGCAAGGGCAGCAGCCATGAAAAAAGTCAAACATGTCAACAACAATCCCTTGAGTCCCTTGTGCAAGCCAATCGAAGTTGATGGACGGGAGGGAATTGGGCGTAGTATTCCATCCGGATTAATGTGAATCGCACTGGCATATGTAGGTTGAACCTGTGCAGTGGCCCAAGCTTCTATGCCCGGTAAGTGCCTGAGTGACCAAAATTACCAAACACGCCCAGCAACCCACACTGAACCAGCCTAGGTATGTATCCGAGCCTTGATGTTTTGTATGTGGTAATTGAAATATTAATGGTCCAGTGTCCTCTTGTATTGGATGGATATTCGGTGTTTTCTATTCAATCACCCTGCAGCAGTCTTAAGTGGGTCATCCTTGTCCCTTCCCTTGTCAGCAGATGTTGAGGGTGGGGGTGGGTTGTGGTTCTGGCACCTGACATCATCAGCAACTAACTGCAACCACCACGACGATACTGTATTAGATTTCTTACTTGGCACAACAGTCCTCCCGTCCTCTTCCGACCCTACCTAACATCCTGAGCTCAGGTGGGATAACGACCGCCATGGATGGGAGATATTGTCAAGCCGACCCGAGTATAGCGAAAAAAAACAAGGTCCGACAAACTAAAGTCATGAGAAATTCAAGATTTGGGGTTCCAACCCGGACTGTAATAGTCCGCTCGGCACGGCAGTGCAATGCAATGTATACTTTATGGTGGATATTACTCATTGCAACTGCGACTGCGAGAAACAAGCAGCTGCGGCCTTATGTTGAGGCGGATGTAACCCATTTTAGCTTTGCATGAGCGAGCCGTTTTATGCAAGTCCTCACTGCTCATCTCCAAGCTGGTGATACCTTTTTAGATAGTGGTGTGCACTCGAATTTCCAAATTCAGTTATAGAGAGGTTTGGGGATATTGAAAGAGCGTCCTAGCGATGCAGTAAATATCGACACTTGGAGGTTAGAAATGCGTCAGTACGGCGTACTTGATTCATTGAATTTGAGTAGAACAGAAAGCCGTGAGGTGTGAACCTCAACTAAGTATCTAAAACGTATGTCCTCCGCCCCATCTCCTATGAAAACAAACCAGACCCTGGCCAGTCACTCACACCCACATAACTAGCCAACTATGGTATACCGCTGGCATGTCAGAAAAGTCCATGGCCATCTCCCATCTCTTCCTTGTTATTCCACCCTGTTGTGATACCTAGGTAATGCAGTACTCCGTACATAATGGCGCCCAATGATTTCCCTGATGCAAAGTTCCAGAAAAGAATGTGCAGAAGGGTATAGGAACAGGACCTAATCCACCAACGCCGATATCCAACCATGAGAAAATGCTAATGTGCCCTCCAAATGCAAATGATGATACCCTCCCACCCTAGATCTTGTGAAGAAAATGTACAAAGTGGAGATAGTGAGATGATGCACTCTAAACACAAGCTGTGAATCACTGCTCAAAGGGCAGCGCAAACCGAACCCTCTTCTTTCCCTTTGAAGCCGTCGACGGTAACTCAATGTTCCTAGCTCCAGCATACTTCTGCTCCGCGTGGTGGCCTTCACTCATCTCGCTATCGTGAAGCTCCTCATCCGTCTCCTCCTCGATAGCCCAAACATCCGGGCTAGGCTCACGCCAAGAGTGCGGTGACCGACGGAATGGTCTGAACATGGTTCGTGGACCAGGCCGGGTCAATGGCCGACCCCGGTTGGCGCAGTGGCTATAAGATGGAGAGGGAGGCGTCAGGGGCAAATCATAATCAGCCGTAGAGGTGCTCCTGTAGTTGTCCAGTCTGCTGCTTGGGCGGCTGTTGCTATTGCTGTAGCTCGATGAATGCCTCATCTTGGGCTTCTTGGTCAGGTCCTTCAGGCGAAGAACAGGCAAGTCGAATGCAGCGGCTGCAAGGTGCATGTAATCCTCCTTGTCCTCGGGCGTAGGGTACCCATCAAACTCCAGCTCGGGAGTCGACGACTTGGGTGGTGTTGGTGGCCGAGGGGGCGGGAGGCTGAGGCCGTCGAGGCTGGATGGGCTAACACTTCTCACGATGGGCGCTGGGTGTTTGGTGTCCTCGATGCCAGCGTCAAAGTCCATGTCGAAATCCATGTCGTCGTCGTCAACCGCATTGGCGGCAGGTGTGGGCGTGAGGAAGTAAGTGAGAGGGTCTTGGTCGATGTTGGATAGGTCGACATCGTGAAAGTCGCCATAGTCGATTCTTAGTTGAGTAGGCGGCCAGGAGTCACGAAGAGCTCCACGGCTAATGGGTTGAGAAGAAGGCATTGTGTTGGTCGTGGTGAAGAGGATGATCCTTCACAGGAGTAGAGACGAGACTGCGGTTATATATGAACCTTTGCACCACACCCCAAGGGAAATGCCACCAAAAGATATGCGGTGACAAGAAAGGAAACCCGATGCCGGCTTGGCCGGCTCAAGATAACAAATCTGTCAGAAAATGGGGTGTCAGACACAACCAGAAACCGACGTTCTCCTGCTGCTGTATGTATAGAACCTGAAGAGACGACTGGGTAGACTGACGAGCTGAATACGAACGAGCATGCCTTGGCTATATACCAAGCCGGTGATGACTACACCCTCTCACCGGAAATGGTTGGCATGTCTCGCATGCCACTCTCGCAATATCAGACACAGTCATCGGTGTAGTGCCAACCATGATGAGGCGTTGCCTTGTGAGGTGAACATGGTGTGTCACCTTCCAACGATGTGTCTCATTTGGCGGGGCGAATGCACCTCCTCCTCAGGTCTTTGGCCAATCAGGCCCCGATCTCTGATCGCCTATCCCCGACAGGACTCCAAAAGCTCCCATAAAGCGTGCCATTCCTGGCATCACGGGGCGGGATAAGGAGGGGTTTTGTGGGATCGCTTGGTTAGCTTGGAACGAAATGGGTAGAGGGAAAAAAACTTAAACATGGCTCGATATCGAAAAGCAGGAAAAGGATTGTGATGGAGAAGTGGAAACGCGGCTCCCACGGCTTTTCGGCATCACGCGCAGCAAAGGACTGGGTTGCTGAGCTCAGACACAGTCAACAAAATATGAGAAAATCAAGGAGGCAGCACCCACTCGGGCCGCCAGATGACTGCGCAACGCGCAAGCATGATGGCTGTGAATGTGTAAAGGCTGGTGAATAAGCCGGATTTTCGCTCGGTGTTGATTTGGAGACATGGACGGAGACATGGCACGGAGCCGCATCACCGAGTCACTGATGGCTGCCGAATCACAGCTACCTACCCGGCTACGGTGTAGGTGCGAGCTCTTGGAAAACCCACAAGGTCACGCCAGCTGCCAGCAGAAGACCCCACGATACATATCTGTGTCGCTGTCCGCGCCTAGAGGTGAGAAATTTCCAAGTCTGATCTGAGGTACCCGCATGATGTGCAGCCGTGGCGCGTGGATCATGGCCGGAAGAAATCAAGCCAGAGGCCAAAACCCCTGGAATGATCTGGGGCGGAAATCGAGCGATTGACGAGACATCGAGGAACAAGATGCGCCGATTGATCATGCTTCGTCACAAAGCAGGAACACGATCGTGCATGAGCAAAAGAGGGTGCAACTATTTACTTAACCTGCACTGCTGATTGCGGCAACCCGGCACCGCTAGCAGCTGTAGTCATCAGTCACCACTAAGGTATGCGCACGTGCGGGATTGTGAATGCACTCGTGCAGTGATGTGCAAGATAAGCACCGATAAGAGTTGGATGCCGAGGGCTCACGGCAGGCATGGCGCGCAGTGGCAAGCATGACCTGACTCGGCTGCAACTTCAACCGTCAACTTCACCTTCAACTTCCTTTTCTGACCTTTGAACTGCAAACATGAACAGAGCGTTCCTTCAACTCACTTAGTGCTTTGTTGAGGGGAGAAAAAAAAAAAACCTGGTCAACCTCGACGGTGAGACTCGGTCCGACTCTCTTTACTTTTCCTTTTCCAAGTGTTTCTGATATTCAATTCTCCCTGATCCCTGTCACCATCTCGAGCCCTACCGGCATCTATTATCGTTAGCTTCGATCCCCGGCAAGGATTTGGCTTGGGCTTTCAACTGAAGCAATGACGCTCCCAGAATCGCCGGCCCCGGGTTCTGCTCAACTCCATATCCGATTTGTGTCGTTCAACATCCGCTTCGCTACCGATAATCCTGTTCCTGGAGAGCAACCATGGACTGACCGTCGGCCAAGGCTTTGTGCTCAACTCAACTTTCTTACCTCTGGCCATGACTCAACATTTCTCTGCCTCCAAGAAGTCCTTTACTCACAGCTTCTTGATATCCAGGATTCTCTCGGTCCGTCGTGGAGCCATATTGGCCGGGGCCGAGAAGACGGCAAACTGGCTGGCGAGTTCTCACCCATCTTTTTCCGAGTGGACGAATGGGACTGTCAAGACTGGAAGACGTATTGGCTTTCCGAGACTCCAGAAAGGCCGTCGATCGGTTGGGATGCTGTCCTTGAGAGAATCGTGACCGTCGGATCATTCCGCCACAAGACGACAAGCAAAGCGGTCATTGTTATGAGTACCCACTTTGACCACCGAGGGCAAATTGCGAGGGAAGAAAGCTCTAAGCTCATTCTCATGCTGGCCTCCGAATGGAGACGAACGTATCGTGACTCTTATCCTCCATTGGTTCTGGGCGGCGACCTCAACAGTACCCCAACAGACCAGGCATACAAAACGTTGACCTCATCTGAATCGGGACTGCAAGACACATCTGCAGTTTTTCCAGATGAACTAAAGTACGGCAACCGCGACATTACATACACGTCTTTTGGCGAGCCAGACGAGGAGCCAAAGACCATCGATTTTCTCTTTGTCCAGAGACCACCAACCCTCATACTAAGGTTGTTTGGAATTCTGCCAAATAAATTTGACGATGGTCTCTTCCTGTCTGACCACCGACCTATTTTTGTGGATATGGAGGTGTGATCCAGGAAATGTGTCTTCACTCTTCGGCTCCCCTATTTTTTTTTTTTTCTTCGTCTTGCGCGCTTCTTGTCCAATAGTTCCATGATTTCGTTTTTATTCATTTTTTTGGTTCGGTTGCTCTAAGGCGGCCTGAATAGCAGCATTGTATCAGACGACTAGCTGGCCAGTGGCTGGGCATCGATGCTTTGGTGAGCCAGCTACCTATCCATTCATGTTCCCCCATCCTATCAAAACAATGCGGCTAACTATCGAGAACAGCACGGTTGTTTGTGCTAGACCTGCTTAGTCTTCGGGTTTGTTTGAAGACGAAGAACACGGAAGTCGTTGTTTGATCAGAGCAAGAAATTTTTTTGACACTGCAGACTAAATCGGAGGGAATACCACGACCAGGCTATCTATCAGCCCGTGCTTGGTTCTTCGTAAACGAAGCACTTCGCTACGGACCTTCTGTCTGGACCGAAGCTCCAAGCTCCAAGCAACAAAGGGATACACGGTGCTCATTTGTCAAATTTCTGTCGATCAGGGCCGAAACCATGATTTTCAGGTGCCCCCAGAAGGATGATACGCGTTACAACTCGACCGGACTTGGACGACTGGTGATCTGAGGTGCCTTCTTTGGCCCACAGCTTGCAGTTTGAGCCTCCTTCTCCTCGTTGGATGTTTCAGCCACGTCTGGACTCTCAGACTCCTTCCAAAAGGCTTCGAGTGATCTGCGCCGAGTATGGAGATACCAGATTGGCGGGAACCAAGACGCTGCTATTTCACTTGGGGTGATGTCACTAGAACACCATGGTACTGGTACGCCAATAATTATGTGCATCATCGACCGCATCGTCCTTACAAAGATTCGCATAGTCTGCACAAAAGGTTGGCTGCACCCTTACACTTGAGTCAATGCCTTGTACCTGTGCCGAGTATAAAGGAGAGCGCGTCTTGGAAATCTGCCCAATTTGTTACAAGTCGGTGACCGCCCAAGATGGCTTTGGCTGTGCGACAAAGATGTTGAGTCACTTGCTCTTCAGTGCAGATTTCACGGACGATTCGCATTTTTTTTTCCCTTATTCTTTTCCTGTGACAAGCCGCTTTTGATGGCGATACAGCATGAGACGTAGCTCGTCTCCCGCGCATTCTTCCGCGCAATTGCGACAATGCGCGAAGCTGGCACATCTATTGCACCCTCCCAGTTATCCCACCCTCCCTGTGCCGCACGTTGGTTTAGTCTCGCTACAATGATGCACTAGAAACGCATCTTCTGGGCGGGTGACTTGAAGTTTGAGGGGTTAACACTAGTCTTTATGCATTTGGGTTGGACAGGTAAGGACGACTGTGGGCATCACACTCACGCCCACACTCAAAACTCTCGAGGGCTTGGCAGAATAAAGATATTTTCCACATGGCATTGTACTGCGAAGCGAAAAATTGCTGGTGACAAAGACGGGTTCCCTTGTTCTTGCCTTGAGACAATGCTGACAATCGAGGATTTCATCTCAGGATTCCTTGAGGGCGCCATGTCTCACTTGACCCGAAAACGGTGAATGCTAAAGGTTCAATGCTTCTGATTGCTCATGGTTTCTACTGTCATAGACTTGAGCAGGTTGGGACACACATCGATGAGAACGCAACTTAACCTACATGCCTACACCAAGCTGGATGACTTTGACACTGTGACGGGCAGAAGCCGCATTTCAGAACCTACCATACAACTTCAGAAAGAGCGAACAACTAAATCAGATGGAGGACGCGAATGGCTGTGTTGACCCTTCTGCCTAGAAAGCGGGCGGTGGCTATTCTCATATACATTTGCTGCACCGACTATACCCAGACTCCAATTACCTGCTCCCTTGAAAACTCTAAGATTCAATGTGATTCCAGGCACATCCTCACGAGGCATTAACCAGCTTCCATTCATGTCACGATATCGTTTTCGGCTTTGGGGGTCCAAACGAAGCGAGTGTCGACTGTGCCTGTACGGCATACACCGAAGCAATCCTGCAAATTACCGTTGATACCCAAAGAGAAGAGGTCGGGCAGTAAAGACGGCGAAGCAGATGGATAAGCTAGACAATAACAGGCTGTGGTGAGTGGTACATTATGTCTCCAGGTTTTCATACAGCCTACCCATCCCATCATCCCGGGATGTCGTCGACATCATTTCCCATTGCCTTCATTTTCTTTGCGCTTGGTTTTTTTTTGTCCTCATCTGCGCAGAGCAACCACACACCAGCCCCCTTTCTTCACTCCCGTCACTCGGGCCAATGCCCAAACTGTACCCTCCTTCAGGCGAGTAGCAACAACTTCAAACTCGTCTACCCCACCACACCCTTCGGAGAGTTGAAGCCTCGTGTAACAATCAACCGCCCATCCGTTAATTCCCAACATTAAGAGCTGCAAGAGACAGCCCAACCTGCAGTCTTACTCCAAATATTTTATGGCAGCAATTGCTCATGCGCGTGAAGATCACCACTGCCTTGCGAGACTTGAGAACATCATTTCGCGTTTCTGCTTTTCCGCCCATCTGTCTCTGCCTTTTGATCGCCTCATCTCCTGGAGGTTTAACCATAGACACTCGAGTGTGGTGATTCTTTCATGTCGTCGGAGGATCGATTACCTCGGAGCAAGGGTTTGTGGTTGACGACGATTCACTCACTATCTGGAGCGGGCCATTCCCCCAGTCTCCCCCACAACGGGATCAACAACAGAACGGATCCACCGTGCTCCAGCACCCAATCCCCAAGTCCGCGAGGCACACCCTGTCATACAGCAGCGTATCATACGGTACGAATACCCGAACAACGCCGTTGAATCTTTCAGCATCGACTCGGACATGTCAGTAGACGGGACGTTCAGATGCTGCGGTCACCGCGAAGAGAAAAAGCGATAAGAGGAATTTGTTCAACTCAGAAATGCCCGGAATGATCGAGAGAAACGAAACGCTCTGGTAGTGCCAGCTCAGTCGCTCTCCGGTCACTTACCGTTCCGTCAAGCTGTTTTTTTTTCCGGGGCACCGTTGCTGACGCCGTTGCTGCATTATCGATACAAGTGTGGGTGGTGTTTCTGCGTCACACACACTCACTCGCTCACTCCCCTCCAACCCCCTCCCTTCTTTTCTTCTGAGGTGTCTCGCTGAGGTGTCTCCCCATTCCCGTCGCCCCGTTTCTGTTTTGTCGGCTCTGGGTCTCCCGCCCCAGCTCAGACAGACCTGGATGGCAGCCTAGTGTAAGAAGAGAAGACTGCGCTTGAATAGAGAAAGCTTGCAAGCATCCAGCTACCCAGCACGCGTCGCACCCCTCCAGTCCCGTCTGTCCCTACCTCTACCTACCTCTAGTTGGACCAAGTGTCGGAGGCAGAGGCTACACCCCCGCAGTCAATAAAACTCGTCGTCGCCCACTCAGCCACATTCCTCCATTACATATTTTTTTTTTTTTTTTTATATCTTCTGTAGCCTTGCTACTTCCCTCCTTGGGCTATTGCTGGGCATCACCCGTCGCGACGAGACACCACAGTCCCGTCGGCTTGAAGCAGACACTGACAACAAGCGCTAGCTGGAACATCAGACGAGACGGCCCTGACTCCATCCCATATTCCCGACGCTTCAGTCTCCACTTCACCCTTGCTGTTCTGTCCTGCACCATTGGTCATCGCTCCAGGATCACCCCCGCTCTTAGGTTCGTGCGTTTCGTCCCAACTGACTGTGTGTCATTTGTTGTTGTCGTTGGCGTCGGCATCCACTGCGCAAGCATGAGCTAACCTCGTTGTCCTTACATTAGCGACTGAATATCCTCACTGCGGCCCGCCTCCGCCTTGCGGCTCAGTTGCCTTGGTCCGTATTCTCAAGTGGCCCTAAATACCGTCTCGCGAGCTGTTGCTCGTTTCCAATGAGTTCGACCCGTTCAAGAATCGCGTCTGTGGAAGACGCCGACGACGACGGAAACATTATCCAAGGAACCTCCCGCTACGCTGCCTCTGTTGGCTCCAAAGAAAACTCGAGCTCCGGTCGCGCACGAAAAGAGCACAAGAAGTCAGACTCTTCACCCATAGTGACAAACGGCCAGCCCGACTCCGACTCGACACAAAATCCCCGCAGAAGCGAATCCTCAAAGACAGCACGAAGAGAGCGCGAAAAGTCGACATCTGGGACCAAAAGATCCAGCATGTCGTCCTCACGCCCCGTTCCACGACATGCTAACACCACCGGCAATCTTCACCGGCGGGGAGATTACGACAGGAACGGAAGGGAGATCGAGGCCTCATATTACGGTGTGAGCCCTACCATGACAACCTCCTCCTCTCGACCGCCTCGTCCTCAGACCTCCACTCCCCGGCCCGTTAGTTATTACGGGACAGGCCCGACACGACCACCTCCACCTTCTGCTCGCTATATTGCCTCTGGGCCTCCGCCTCCTCCGCAATTCATGCCTCAATCCTATCCAGCTACTCCGCCAACATGGGCTGGACCGGGACCCATGCAGCCATTCCCGATTCCGACGCCGGGCTCGTTGAGCCGACAGGCTACAGACTACTTCTCTGCTCAACCCGTTGATGCACGCTTAGATGCCCAACTCGCTGCTCTTAGCCTCGGAACTAGCCCGAATCGCCCCCGAACCGCCCTGGCTTATCGTACCTCCCGCACTCTTGAATACGGGGAGGCAGATTTCGACGAAGAGAACGAGAGATCGATGCCGCGGCCTTCTCTTTCCCACAGAAAGCTGTCGAGGGACGAAGATGCGCGAAGAATGCCCCCTCCAGTCAGGTCTTCTACTGCTCACCCGTCAGGCAACCCACATAGGCCACCGCCAGTACCCTCAACACCAGGCAGACGAGCTTCACGATATGCCGACGAAGATCAGTCGGGCGATGCGTTATTTGCCCTTTCGCCAACTCCTTACGAGTATCAAACCCCTGCTCCCGCTGCAAGCCGAGCGCGGTCCAAGTCAAGACCGAGGCACCAGCGGCGACCCAGTGTCAGTGCAGGAACATACGAAGACCAGGAGTCCAGGATGGAAATAGCCAGCCGGCATAATCGGCGACACTCGTATTATGGAGCAGCACTACAACCAGTTACTGCTTCTGGAAGCGGTTACGAAGAAAAGATCCGTCAAGCTGCCAAGTACCAGACCGAGACACTTGGTGGTGATCCGATGCCGCTCACGGCCGAAACTCTCCGCAGAGCCCAAAGGAACGGCGGTAGCAGTCGTTCCACCAAGAGCTCGGAAGAAAGCCGTGATGAGAGCGATTACAGGCACTCGGCAACAACACGAACCACGCGGTCAAGCGCCAATCCACATGAAGATGTCACCATTCGGGTGATGAAGGGCAAGGGTGCCGTGCTTGAAGTCAACGGTGCAAAGCTGAAATGCGCTGGCGGTGCTGAAATCAACATCTCAAGGAACGCCATCACCTCCGGGCGAAACGGAAATGAGAAGGCGTACTACGATTACGAGGAGGAATATGATGAGCGCCAGCCTCGGTATATCGAAGATGGACGCCAGCAGCACTATGAAGAACGTCATTCTCGGGCTGAGCGATCTCAGACCAGAGCTCGCGCGGCCTCGCGGGCGAGGTCACGCCCAAGATCAATGCATTATGCTGGTCGCGATATTGACGGTACCGATTACGACTATATCCCGGCCTATCCCGAATACCCATCGGATCCTCCGACATATCGCTACTGAGCGGTCACTGGGTCATGAACGAAGATTTACGACTGATTGTCTTTTTTTCCCCCTTTTTTTATGTTTTGGTTCTGATGATTACGAGATCATGAGACGACGAAATGACAATGATAAAGACACAGAAGGATGAGCAGGAACCGAGTTTGTATCATGTTCTTTATGGCCCTTATGTTTAGCGTTGATGATGTCTTCCTTCCTTTTCTTCGATTCTTCATAATATCTTCTTTACCTACTCCTCACTTGGATTTTGTACGATTTTCTTCTTGGTTGGCACTTTTAGTCTTGCTGCAAGTCACTGTCTGATGGACCCGGGAAAAGTTTTGGAGAGACGATACCCCATATCTGGCATGGCACAAAAAAAATCATTTAAGCACGACATGATCGATTTCACATTCTGTGATTCCTGCTCTCTACTTGTTGATCAAGATCTTAATTACTTCTGGTTCGTTAAGGAAAAGTGGTGGTAGTGGTGACAGAGTTCAATATACATTCCAAACCCGAAGCAGATGAACAGTTGGCATGAAACCCGGACAGTAGATGGTCGGCTAGAAATACCTATCTACATTCTCTTTTACATTCACTTAGCAATGTCACTTGCTTCATCTTGAATCGTATCGATGTACTAGAGTCCTTCTCTGTCGACCGAACGAGCTGTGGCACCGCGGCGAAGCGTTCCTATGGTCGCAACTGTCGAACATAGGTCATAAATACATTCCTCACATCTTGCAACAGTTAGTTCTTTCGACACTTGATCAAGCACTTGTGATTTGTTAATAATTTGCTATCATGCCAAGACATACAGGTTACTGCTACCTAAAGGACGAATTTTGTTCAATGCATACATAGCTTCGTTCCTAAGCCGATGAGAATATGAACCTTATCGGACAGAGCATAGTAAGCGGTCAAGTCTCCTTTATTCTCAACATCAGGAGTCGCTTCAGCTATTCAGCTGGCAAAAGTCTTTCTTATCAGCTTGATCACATAGTGACTTTGCGGGCTTTTCCTTGGGTAGCTAGAATTATGGCCCTTGAAAAGGAAAGCATTTGTGGACTCGCTTTTCTGAAGTGTAAGGGCGTGTTTGGATACTCTGAAATGGGGCTCTGAAACGTTATTCTGAAATGGCATTTCAGAGGAACTGCACGGACCCTCCTGAACTGGATTTTGGGAGCAAATGCCAAGATTCTGAGGTCCATCCAGTTCCTGTTCAGAACGGCATTTCAGAGTGCCGTTTGGTTCTCTATACTCTGAAATTTTTATATTTATTTTTCTATAATAAGTATAACCTTCTTTTATACCTTCATTAATATATTCTCATATCCCTTTTCATCTTTTTTTTCTTTAAATAAAGGTATAGTAGTTATTATAACCGGTTGAAAGTAGAAGGTAGTGATGAGGGTTGTTACGTGTTGGAAAAGATGTGTAGAATTTCTAGTTCAGAGCGACATTTCAGGAGCTTTTTGGGTTCTAAACGAAAAAGACGGACTTCAGAGTAATCTACGGTTTCTGATTGGCTCAAAGTCGAAAGTGGAGACGCCCATTTCAGAGCCCCAATTTTCCAGCAATTTCAGAGCCAGTCCATTTCAGAGCGCTCCCAAACAGCGCTCTTAAATTTTCGACTCTGAAGACTTCAGAGCCCCATTTCAGAGTATCCAAACACGCCCTAATACTGTACCAACAGCACCGTCCGTGTAAGTGAGTGACCCGTCGCGAGAATGGCCCAGTGCCAGAAGTGTGTCGTCCAACTGTACTGCACTGACTCCACAATGCTGATTCTCCATTTTTACAGTTCAGTTGCAAGGTGAAACACGCTGTTGCCCTGAAAGTGCCAAGCCTTTGGCTGGTCAATGGCCGCTTATGAAAAAGGTACCTAGGTACCACACAACGACGTCATGGTTTACCATAGAACTACAAGCTTGCAAGCTGCGAGCACGATGACAGCAGGAGATTATGAACCGGAACACCGATAAAGAGGTGCGATTCATGTGTGTAAAACGAAGAGGATAAATTGCGTCGCGAAGAGAGGAACGGGAAAGAATCGGAAGGTTCAGTGGTGAAGAGGGGATCGATGGCCGTTCTGCCAAACTGAACCTGCCAGATGTGCCTGCCTGGCTTTTGCGTGGTTCCCAGCCAACCGAATCCAACGGAAGTTGACGATCGCCAGCCAACCAGGCAAGAACAACAGACCAACGCACAACAACTGAGCCACCCCTGCCCTGGCTTATTTGCCCAGCCCCGGTCCTTCCCCAGCCCCCCCAGTTTCTGGGCGAACAACATTCTCAGGTCCCCCTCCCCCAAGCGCCAAACCTAAACACTGCCCAGAAAGACAGGGCAGACTTGACGCTTACGGCTACGCCAACGCTTGCAGCACGTCGACCTGCATTCTTCACCCAAGCAACTTAACCTTCAGCAACTTGCAGTTTTGCAAGCATCTGGACGTTCTTCCATTGAACCCTTCCATTCCAGCAACCGTATTCCTCCAGAAGCCAGCGATCGACGAAGCTTACATTCTCTTCAGCTTGGCAGGTTGACCAGCTCTTCATCAACTCAGTTTGGGCCTCCGTCTCTGCCAAACCGGCGGACGCCAAACCGCAACTATGGCACCCGTGCTTCGCGCCCTCATGGCGCGTCGCCTTGTTGTCAGCGGCAAAGACATCGCAGCTCTCGGCCCTCTGGCAGCGCGCGGCATTCTTCTAGCACGCGATGACAATGACAACGAGGACCGACCCGACCCGGAGAAGGGTCTCGTGCACCCGCAGGATATCAACAACAAGGCCATGTTCGCTTTCTTCGGCCTCCTGGGCGCCGCAATCGTCATCGGCGCCGTTTGGTTCTTCTTCTGGGCCAAGAACGGTGGCTTCTACTTCAAGGAGGATGACTGGGACGACTACAAGTCGACGGTGATGCGCCGCAAGGGTCCCAACGGCACCATCTACTCCGGCGCAACGCCCAGCACCATTCTTGGCGGCGGCAGCGTGTACAAGGACGTAGCAGATGACGACGGCATGACGGAGATGGACAATACCACAGTTATAAGCGGCACCACAGGCATCACGGGCATCACGGGCATCACGGGTGGTGTGTCCGACATCTACGGCCGCGAGAAGCGGCGCAAGAAGCGCGAGCAAAAGGAGCGCGACAAGGAACGCCGGCGCGAGGAGAAGGCGCGCGAGAAGGAGGAGAAGAAGCGGAGCAAGCGCAAGGTCGGCACCGACGGCATCATGATTGACGAGGAGGCCGAGGCTTTGGCTGAGGAGCAGCTGCGCAACTACCGGTCCGAGAAGCCTGCCCGCGTTGGCGGCATCAACGTCGCTAGCGAGGCGAGCGAGTGGGACGGCTCAACGAACCCCAGCTGGAGTGGTGTGGGTACTTCGACTGTTGACAGCGGCAGCACCGTCACGTCGGAGTTGATCAAACACCAGGAGAAGCGCGAGCGGAGCCCTAGCAAGAAGGAACGGGACGAGGAGCGCGCTGCCAGGAAGGAGGCAGAGCGTAGGGAGAGGCGCGAGCAGCGTGAGCGGGAGCGTGAGCATGATCGGGAGCTTGGCCGTGACCGTAATCCTGAGAGAGAGCGCGAGAAGGAGAAGAAGACAGGCGGCATTCGCAAGGTGTACTCGACAGCCGACAAGAACGCCAGCCGCGAAGCCGAGCGGCTGCGGGCCGAGGCGCGTCGTCTGCGAGAGCGGGATCGTGCGTCTGCAGCAGCCGGGCAGCGTGAGCGCGAACAGCGGTCGTCGAAACGGGACTTCAGTTGGCAACACGGAGTAGGCGACGAATCGTCCATCGCTCTGCGCCGTATCGACGAACGGGGCGAGAGCGTCCTGGATGACGTTCACGAGCACGAGGAGGGGGTTATCGCCACGGGCAGCAATGGGCAATACGCACGAGTGAATAACCAGGACTATGACGAAGTTGACCAAGTCCCACCGCTGCGTACGTCACGCGCCTTGGTCCCGTCCAGCTACACAGGGACGGAAAGCGAGATGATGGAGAGCGAGATCAGCGGCCACAAGGTCTATAAGCACCCGGTTCATATTCCCGTTAGCGGCGCGGAGAGCTCGGTGGGAAGCGATGTGTCGTATGCGGAGGAGAGGAGGAAGAAGAGAAACGGTGCTGGGTACAGAAGGCATCACCGGAGGGATGGTGATGGGGATAGCAGCGTTGGCGGTTACTAAAGAGAAGATATGATGAACATCGGCTGGCTGACTGACGAGATGTTATGATGATCATGACGATTGGAAATGAGAAGCGAGAGCGATGGGTGGAAAGCAATGTGTCACACTCGTAACGGGGTCGGAGATGGTGAGCGAAAGATGAAATAATGTCTGCATGAACGAGCTTTCACACGCACAGCAACCCCTTTGTTCTTTTTTTCTTACCCCTTCTTTTTCTTTCAATGGCTAAATACCTGGCTCACACACAAGCAGGCGGGCGTTCGTTTGTCGTATGTAGTTTTATAGTCGTAGCAAATAACTGTTTGATAGGGTTCAAAGGTAGCTAGCTAGTGTGAATGGTATTTGCAAGTAGTGTATTCAACATCCTTCTTTTCTTCTTTATTGTTACATGCGCACCGCATGTTGAATGGCCAATTCTGTTGCATGAGTTGACGTCCGGGTCACACGGAGTCTCGGATATGCTCCGGATGCGCCGGGTGTCGGACTCCATGTTGTTCGAGATCGCGGGTTTTGTTCCGTTATGCGCCATAGGGAACCAAGTTCACAACTTGTGCCGTTCACTGAAGTCCGTCAACTTGCATGTGGAAAACAGTGACTCAATGGTTCCCTTGAGCCAGAGCAACGTAAGGATGACGACACTGGCTTGAATCCGCTGTGCTTACGGACGCCGCCGATCTCTATATCACAGTGGTAAATCGATAAAGTGTGATGCTGGACCCTGCCTTGCCGGAGTCGATTTTATTTTATATATTGACAGCCGTGGAAGGCATTGATTAGGAAACTCGTGAACCGTCCAGGACTTCTTGGGATTCACTAATTGCAAAACACTTGACCGGCAATCTATGTAACCTATCTTTGATTTTCTGGCATGATCGTCGAGATCTCGGACCGTCGTCAAACTGCGCCATATGAAACGGTGCTGCGGCCAGCAGGACCCTGGTACTCCAACACGGCCCATGGAACAGTGTTCCTAGAATAGCGTGTTGTTGTTTATGCGCTGTGTTTTAGGAGGCAGTGTGAGTGCTTATGGACGCTTTTTGAAGGACCGGAGTGGGCGATGTCAAACGCTCAAAGTTACGTTTACCGATCGAGATTAAGATGCAGGTCGTTTAGTAAACGTTCTCGATGCTTCCTTTGGCCGATGTAACGGGGACAGCACGGTTAACTCGGGTACTGGTCGTATAGCTTGATTAAGGTTCTATGAAGGAGGAAAAGTCTATCTAAGATGCGGATCCACCGGCGCTGAGAGGTTTTTATTAGGGCTGCGCGCTCTGCGCTATTGTAGCTAATAACGGCTCTAATCTTAAAGACTAGAGTCTATAACCCGGGTACCAGCCTTATAATATTACTCCCCTCCTTCCCTCCCTTTCTACCCCTCTCTTACCTACCCTTACAATTAGTCCCTAATATGTTCGCGACTTCTATTTCAATTATAAGCTCATCTCCTATACCGCCAACTGCTATACTCGTACCTTCTATCCAATATAGCAATTATAGTATTAGATAGTAGCTAATAGTAAGTAGTAATAGGTAGTAAATAGTAGTTCTAACGCTCGCGCTCTTTAAATCTATATATATAATCCCCCTCCCCCTCGCTTCTTAAATTTTTCCCTCTTCTCTTTTTTTCTTTAGTAGTAATTTAATCCCTTAAAATAAATAGTATTATTCCCTTCTCCACCTAATACTAACCTATCTCCTCTAACTTTTTTAATATTTTTAAATACCCTACTATACGCTGTCCTCCTCTATTAATTCAATTTCGCCCCTAGGCTTCGGCCCCTAGACTCTTTATATTATTAAAAGTAACCCGCTAATTTCTACTTCCGTCCGCTTTAATACTTCGCCCCCCAACCTTCCCCCCTAAAATTCCTCCTTACTAATATTAGCCCCTTTAATTCCCTTTCTATAAATTCTAATGTACCCTTCCCCTCCAATTACTACCCTTAGCCCCCGTTACCTAGTAATTATTATTATTACGATTCCCTTAAGTTCGTACTTAGTAAAAAGATACTACGTTGAAGTAAATTCTTTTTTTTTTTTATATTCCGCTCCCCTAAAGTTTTCCCTCTAATATTATTTTATTATTAACCCTTTTACTATAATTAGAGTATAAAGAATCTACAATATTCTATATTATTTACTTAAATATAGAGCAGGTTTGTCTTATAATATTTAATCGTACTATATATATTAATTATTATAATAATAGTAAGTAGTATAACCGGGTATTACTTATAACCCTACGTACGACCGCTATTTAAAAGGCGGCGACCGGCGTTATAATTAAGGTAGTAATAAAGAAGAACCTTAATTAATATATAAATATCTAAAGGAATATTATTAAACTATATGAGAAGAGATTTATTAACCGGTATATTACTCCTACCCCTTTCTTCCTATTTTTCTACCTATTCTAGAACCTTGGTATTAACTTCTTTTTTTTTTTTTTAATTAATTACAAATATTAATACTATATTAAGGCAGCGTCCCCCCTCCCCCCCCCTCTGTTAACAGCGCCCCTTTCCTACGAATTAAAAGTAATTTAGGATTGGGTAGCGGCTTTGGAAGTAAGGATAGATACGATAGAAGTAGGAAATAATTGTAAAAGAAAGATTTAGAAAAAGTAGAAAAATTTAGAATTAATATCGCTCCCTTCCTTCCTTTTCGTAGCCGACACTATTATTTTTTATATTTAGTAATAAAATATTCGGCCGGACCGTCGTTAATAGTAGTTGGGCCGTATTTAGTTTTAAAACGGTTTAATATTATAATATTAACTACTATTTATAAAGGTTCCTATATTTATTCCGCCTATCCTACCTACTTTATTGATACTTCTCTATACCCTTTCTTTATTTAATAATATAGGATTTCCTTTACAAAGTATTCTTTCTTACTATCGACTATAATAATTAGGGGTTGGGGGTTAATAATAATTTACCTTAATAAGAGATTATTTTAAATATATTATAAGAAATCTATATAGAATTTATCGAAGACCTTTATAGTAAAATCGGTAAACTCTACAATATATAAGCTAAAAAATTTTAAAATTATATATTTAATATAAATTTAATCTAATTTCTTTTTAGAGTATTCAATTTTAAAATTCTTAAAGTTCAATTATACTTTATCCCCCTCCTTAAAGACTTCGGCCGGTTACTTCTTACAATTTATAAAGTATTTTTAATTTTATACCGAAATAATTATTATTATTTAATAAAGATTTGTAATTTACTATAATTATATAATAAAACTTTTAATTCTCTTCTACGGGTTAGTAAGTTCGGCTTCTATTAGCTAGGCTATAATAATTATAGGAGACTATAGATAATAGCCGTAGGTAGCAGAAAATAGAGATATTCCGATTATAGTACTAATTCTATTATTAATTACTAATTATATAGCAGGGTACTAACAATCCTAGTTATTCTACACATAATTTACAAAGATTTTTAAAAATATTTATACCTCTTAATTTATATACTTTAGCCCGCTATTGGTTTAGGAATAGAAGGCTATATTTAATTACTACTTTATTCTAAGGAGGTTATAAAAATATTTCTAAAAGTTACTAATTTAATTAAGACCTTTATTATTAACAATAGACTAAAGCTAACTATAGTAGTATATAAAATATTATAAGAAAATTTTAACGACCGCTCCTACTTCTATAGTAGGTATAAGCTTTAAAATTACTACTTTACTAAATTAATTTTTAATAATTAGAAAGTTTATACAACCCCTTAAAAGTAAGAAGTTAGTAATAAAATCTATTTAAATATTTCTAAAGAATTAATTTAGGATCGGTAGCAACCTAAATAATTCTTTCTTCTATTCTCTTTCATACTTAACCCTTCTATAGGTATTATAATTCCCTAAAAACTAATAAATATAAATATTTATTAATAACTAGTAGAAGTCTCTATTAACAGCGTATATTATTCCTTCTCTCCTAAAGTAATTAAAGGTAATCAAATTGTATATCCCTTAAATAATATACGTATATAGAATATTCTCCTCTAAATCCTTTAGAGATATATAAAGGGCAATTATTTTTATAATAATTAGGGCTCTAGGGATTTAAATATAGTTTCGATAATATAACCTCCTTAAGTTATTAATTAAATATTCTTCTAATTGTATTTTTAAACCTTAGGCTATAGTAGGAAGGTTTTAATCGCTATTAGTAATTATTTAGAAGACGCTCTAATAGATTATATCTTACTAAACTACTTTTTTATAAAATTACTATAAATCTAAATTCTCAAATACCTTTACACCCTCCCCTACAATTATTAAGGAGGCTATTATACGAATATAATTCTTAAGAACTTCTTAAGGGATTAATTGCATTTCTTTCGCTTTTATATCCTCTTTATTAGGTTTATCCTAATTTTGCTAGGATAGGGCATTAAGTACTATAGTAAATTTGCCCGGGCGGTACTGGATTTCGAAGTTGAATTTTGAGAGAAGTTTAACCCAATACGCTTAGCGTTCAAAGAGCTTTTACCTCTCTATAAAGTACTCAAGGTTCCAGTAGTTAGTAACGATAATAAACTTCTTACAACTCCTAAACTCTACTAACCACTCCTCCAAACACTATACAATCGCTAACATCTCCTTATCATAGATAGGGTAATTACGCTCTACGGGGGTAAACTTCTAGGAGTAGTACGCGGCCGCGGTCATCTTATCGCTAGAGAGCACGTCGAGTAGCATTAGTTATCCCAATCTATTGCTAGAGATTACTCTAATTACTCTCTCTTCTTTATATATAAGACGTAATTATATAAAGAATAGGGAGAAAATTGAAGTAGATCCGTCCTACTTTAACTACTAGATATTCTTACGTTTAGTATTAAAAATAGTAATAAGGGCGGCTTTTTAGGTAATACTAATTATAATACTAGAGGTAATAATAATTGCATAAGTAATCGTTTGAACGGGTATTTAGAGGTTACCCTATATTCCTTAGATAATAGGCGGTATACTAACAGCGGTTCTAACGGCGTTAGCAAATGCTATACTTATAAAAATACTTCTAATAAAATTATCCCTCTCTATTTATTAGGCTTCTACCTATCGCACTACTGCTTCTTCTACATTCGATATAGTATACTATTACCCTTACTGCTACAGCGGCAATATATTTTAATCTATCAGTTCTATTGGTAGATAGAACCTAATGTAATAGGGATAGTATGGTTAATATAGGTACTAGTTGTATAGTTTGATTAAGGTTCTATGAAGGAGGAAAAGTCTATCTAAGATGCGGATCTACTGGCGCTGAGAGGTTTTCATTAGGGCTGCGCACTCTACGCTACTATAGTTAATAACGGCTCTAGTCTCAGAGACCAGAGTCTATGACCCGGGCG